AAAAAAAAAAAAAAAAGAAAAAAAGGCAGCTTTTTGATTTTTTTTCCAAATGTGCAATTCACATGTGAACAAAGTAATTCTGAAAGTAATTCTCAGTGTATTTTACATTCTCATTGCTCTCTTCAAAGCAAGAGATGTTTTGCCCTGATGTCATTTCCAGCCTGCAGAAGATGTAATTTAAAACATATATATATTGTGCTTGCAAGAATCATAAATCTGTGCATCCTATGTCATTCCTTTTCCCTTTGTTACAATACAGATATGATTTAGGTTGGATTTTTTTTTCCTTTAGACCTGTATAGTGTTTTTTTTTTTTTAAATCAATTGTAAATGTCTGGTTTTCATATAATGTTTAAAAAACATTGAGAAAGAGGATGGTGCTTGTTCCATATCATTCTTGATTGTATATTGCTTCTGTTATGTTTATAAGTAAACTGTGCATGACTTGTGTTTAGCAGTCATTATTGTGTCCGTTTGTGAAATTTTTATTAAAAAGAAAAAAATTCCGTAGATGCACTTATTGTATATGTGATTAGATTTTGCGTCCGAGGCTCGAAGCCTCGAACTGCCAAGGAAGAAAGAAAAAGTGTTGGCAGTTATTAATTAATATGGAATCGCTTTGTTGGGAGCATAATGAAATAAAAGATATGAAGTGTAGAAAATAATTAAAGAAAAAAAAAAGGCAATTTTACAAATTTCATTTTGATGCTTGTGATAAAAGACAAATGTACTTGTGTAGAGAAATTCCTTTAAAATAATGAATAGAAAAAGCTGATTTTGAGGTTAATGCTGTAGAATAGGAATGTATACCAAATGTAATCTTTCCAATGCTACAATGAATTTATACATGAGATTGATATGCAATAAACCTGTGTGCTTTTATAAGCAGTGGTCCCGTGAGCTTCTTTTCATGGAATAACCATGGAGAATGTTCCCAGTAATGGGACACTGGGTTTGTCACCGTCTGGCTTTGCTGCTCTGCGGAATCTGTGGGGTCAGATATTGTGTGTGTGTGGTTTGCAATACTCAAAAGAGCTTTGAAAAATTCAATTATTGCCACCCCGCTTGCTGTTGAGGTCAGAATCACAGAATCCCAGAATCTCTGAGGTTGGAAAAGACTTCCAAGACCATCAAGTCCAAGCTGTGCCCAATGCCCACCCTGTCACCCCCAGAGCACTGGGTGCCACATCCAGCCCTTCCCTGGACACCTCCAGGGATTGGCACTCCAAACCTCCCCGAGGTGGCCCTTTCCAACACCTGACCACCTTTTCCATTAAGAAATTTTTCCTCATGTCCAACCTGAGCCTCCCCTGGCACATCTTGAGACAATTTCCTCTCATCCTGCCCCTTGTTATCCTCCTGCCAGGRAATTGTGCAGAGCMAGAAGGTCCCCCYTGAGCCTCCTTTTCTCCAAACTGGACCMCCCCATCTCCTTCAGCCTCTCCTCACAGGACTTCTCCAGCTCCTTCCCCATCGCTGTTCCCTTCTCTGGAAATGTTTCAGCCCCTCAAGGTCTCTCTTGTGAGGGGCCCAGAGCTGGACAGAGCCCTGGAGTCCTCCCCAGTGCAAAGCAGGTGGAGGTGGTGCTGCTGTGCTGTGCCACATCCCACTGCAGGGATGGGATTCTCGCACAGGGAAGAGGGACAGTATTCCAGGGTGGGAGAATATGTTGGGATGGGGCATCGGGGATCTGATGGAAAGTGTCAAGCTTGTTTCTTTTCACAAGCAGAGCACAGAGTGAGTGAACTACSCAGCGATAGCAGTCAGATGGTTCAGCTCCAGGGGACCCTGGGAGCAGAAATGACTTGAAAGCCGGGTCTTTGAGCTAAAAACCTCATTACACAACTGATGAATGGCCTCRCTTCAAAAAGTCATTCATGGTGATCAAATGATGGTGTCCCACATACGGGATAATGGCCCTTCCCCGGAGATCGGGAGGGCTTCAGTCGGAGCTGAACTCTTGAGTAGGAGCCCTCCTCTCKCTGGAGCCTTTCTCCTTATTAGCCCCGGAGGGAAGGGATAAAAAATCTATGGGATTAGAAAGCTGTGATAATGGGGCGATTGTCAGGCAGGCCCYGGAGTGCAGAGAACAGAGGCATTTAAAAGAATATTGCTGACAAGTGGACTTTGTCATGCACAAAGTGCTTGAGATGCACCACAAACAAGTGAGAAAAAGGCCCCGATTGGGGGACGGGGAGGAGCAGAACAGGGGGGCARAAGAGAAGGTCAAGGAAAAGTCTGTTCCCAGTAAAGACAGAGAGCACTGTTGAGCCTTACTGGGCAGCTGTCWGCAGCCTGACCCTCAGATCCTCTTTCCCAGTTGCTGCAGCATCCAAAAGCGCCCGGAATTGATGTTTTGTGCATCTGGAGGGGCCGCCTGAGGTTACCTTTGATCGCTGCAGACTCAACTAACGCGAGCATCACACGGGTCTTTAGTAAGGGAATCCCTGAGCTGCTGAAACACCGAGTGTGTGCTGGCCAGACCCCGAGGACAGCCGGGGCACAGTCGTTTGTCACCCGTTAAGGCGGCAGGAGAACGACACCGAATAATCCCCTCSCCTTCAGCGAGCTGSGAGGRGCGGCTSTRGGGAACGGGAGATCCCGATGTTCCAGGGGCCGGCAGCGATGCTCCGCGCAAACACCTGCTTCACACTCATCCAGGAGCAGCAAAACACTGTTTCTAGTGGTGTTTAATAAAGGAAAAGCCGGGAAAGCCGGGGTGGCCGTGGGACAGGGCGCGCAGGGGAGCAGAGCGCTCCTCGGAGAGGGATGTGCGGGACAGCGGCTGCTCCTGCGGGCTCCGAGCGGCACCTGCAGCCCGGCCCGGCCTCGGGGGCTGGACCTGCACCTCCTCCGGTCCCGCCCCGCTCCTCGCAGCCCTTTCCCGTCCCTCCCATCCCGTCCCCGTCCCGCCCGCCGCCGCCGCCGCGCTGGCTCCGAGGGGCGCGGGTAGGTGCGGGCGCGGCGGGGTCGGGGTTGGGGCGCTGCGGAGGGGCTGGGGACCCCGGGAAGGGACCGCCACCGGGATCGGCACCGGCACCGGGGCTCCCGGACGGCCGTGAGGGCGGTGGCTTYGAGAATGCGGCTGCCGAGCGCCTTCCGGGGAGGGGACGGCGGGGAGCGGCTGTGCCGTCCGTCCCGAGGGGCAGCCGGGGCTCGTCCTCCCGCGGCTCTGTCCCCGCTGTCCCCGAGGGTCTCAGTGCCCAGCGGTGCCGGAGGGGGGGTTGGGTTCATCCCACAGGGGTTTAGGTCCATCCCAGAGGAGTTTGGGTCCATCCCGCAGGGGTTTGGGTCCATCCCAGAGGAGTTTGGGTCCATCCCACAGGGATTTGGGTCCATCCCACAGGGGTTTGGGTCCATCCCACGGGGGTTTGGGTCCATCCCGCAGGGGTTTGGGTCCATCCCACAGGGGTTTGGGTCCATCCCACGGGGGTTTGGGTCCATCC